GGGACCAGTGACTATTGGGGGTCCGCCCTTTCGTCCTATGCTAGGGCTCCTGGCGGAGGGCCCTCTGAGGGGGTTATGGCCCCCTGCTTCCCTACCCTGCTGCCCTTTGGCTCCTGGAGCCCCTCATTCCTCCTGCTAACTCCACCCCCCAACACGGGCTGTTGACGGAAAACGGCAGGGAATAAAAATAGCCATTGCTGATGAAGCAGAACGGGCGGCACACGGGAAAGGCTGGGCAGGGGCAACAGAGGCAAAGGGAACCCGGGTCCCCCAGCCCCAATTAACAGGTCATTATGGAGCCACAGGGAGACCTGGCTTGTCCCTGCCGTTGCTGGACTGGGGACCCCTCCAGAAGTCACCAGAATTACTCAGAGACCCGGTACCTGCCCCAGCCCTCAGGCTGCCCCTAACTACCCACTGCCCCTGAGTCTCAGGAGTGACCTGTGTCCCCACCCAGCCCTGCTCAGAGTTAGCTTCCTCCCAAGGAGCAGGGCCGTTGGCCACTGTGGACAGAATTCTGGTGGCTTTAGCCATGAGCTCCAGGTACATGACATAACCCCCTGAACCTGCGGGCCTCCTATAAGAGGGGTCAGGGATTGACAGTTTGTATAGCCTGTGGAGTGGCCATTGACACCCACCGTCCTCCACCCCCTCCCATCTCCTACCTGGTCTCTGAGGCCTTAAGGGCAGGTTTTTCACCTGGTGAGTACCTTGCTACTCCCTGAGTTCCAGTTCCCTCCCTCCTCTGGCTCTGCCTTCTTCTGGAATCTTCTCTAAATGCCCACCCCCTGTATTATTCCAACTCCTCCTTGACATTGTCCACACTTCCTCCCTGTTCTGGTGGCCAGAGTTGCCCCCAAAGGCAAGACCTGGTCAGAACCACCCACCATCTGAGAACCAAGCCTTGGGCTCAGGGCTCCCTGGGCCTGGCCTGGGACAGGGCAGAGACCCTGGTGAGGGAAGCCAGCTGAGCAGACCAGCCTTGGCTGGGGAGGTGATCCCTGGTCCTGAGCCCCCTCCCTGCCTGTTTCCAATCAGAAATTACAAGCAGGACCAGGCTGGACGAGGGGCTGCCCAGGAAGTACCTCATTTACTTCCCCAAACTCCTTAAGATCCTTGAACAATTCCTTGAGGGATGCCTGGGGTGGAACTGGGAGTGGGCTCCTGAGGAGCCCTATGGGCAGGGCTCAGGGCCTGTGTGCCATGTGGTCTGGGGCCTGTGTGGGGTCCCCTTCGCCTGGACACCCTGCCTGACATGGTAGGTTCCAAACACCCTTGTGTATGTTTATCCTTCAACCTCATCCCACACAGGTGATGTGGCTCCAAACACCCATGCAGTGACCTCACACCACTGCCACACAGGGTGAGGATGCTGGCCATGACCAGGGGACTTGGGGATGCTGCCAGGAGAGTCTTAAGGGTCTAGGAGAACCAGCCTTCCCTGCCTTCCCCTTCTACCCTCCACACCTGACTCCAGCCTCTGCCACTACTGGGGTCTTCTTGGCCCAAGTCAGACAACTGGGACACAGTCACCCTCTGCCTCTGTCACAGATGAGTGATGGCAACTGTAACTCTGGACTCCACCCCATCTCTCTGAAGTTCGGCTCCTTCCTCTCTCTCCAGACTGGCTACCCGCCTCAACCTGGCTCCCCAGTATGGCTGAATTAAATGGCCTCCTAGTACCTTCTACCTCTAGCGCTCCCAGGCTCTGCTGGCTGATTTAGTTTTGTGCCGGTGACTGTTGCAAGAGGTCCCCGTATGTGTAGGGTCCTCACCTGGGCGTCACCCCCCACAGCACCCTCAGACATAGCCTGGCCCCCTGCTCTGACCCCAGACCTCAGCGGGGGGTGAGGTGACTGGACTTGGGGATTGACGGGGCAATGGAGTGGGGAGGGGGCTCGGGCCTCCCGCTCACACAAAGTGATTCTTTAGAAGTCTCCCGTGGCCCTCTAGATTTCCAGATCCTTCTCGCAAGTGGGCCCTCTGGCATGCAGCAACACTTGGCACCCCGCCACTCTTGAGCTCCTGCATCTCCAAACTGTCCCCAGCTCAGCTGGGGCTCAGACCGTTCCACCCTCTCCACCAGCCACTGCCCACCCTTTACCCCAGTGCCCTGCTCTGCCAGCAGAGGGAGGGGCTGTAGCCTGCCAAGCACTGCCCCCTGACCCCATGCTTGAGCCCTATGTGCCCTCTTGAATCCTCCCAGGGCTCTCCTAGCCCCCCAGAGTCCCCTTGGTGCTATGGCCCTATCTTCCTGCCACTCCTCTGGTCCCCTCCTCTGGTCCCCTCCTCTTCCCAGGGCTCAGCTTCTTCAGGAAAAAAAGCCCCAGAGCTGAGTGGGCTGGAGGAGGGCGGGGACGGTGGGCAGAGCCCAGCCCATCGCTGGCGGCACAGCCTGGGATGTGTCCTCTGCTGGCATCTCACAGATTCCTGTTTCAGCGAAGCAAAGGAGCCGCCGCCACCCGCCACCCCCACCCGGCCTCCTGACGCTCTCCCCGCACCCTGCTTCTGAGCCCCTGCACACAGACTCGGCAAAGTCACTGTCTTGACTGTCCTACTCTCTTCTGAAGAAACTGAAGCCTTGTCCCTGTCCCTTGGGTCACTCTGTGCCTGTTCTAAGCCAAGCTTTAGCCACGGGGCTTTTGTCACCAGAGCAAGGACCCTCGCTGAGGGTGACGACAGCCAGCCAGGCAGGGGCAGAGAGAACCAATGACGGACAGAGAGAGGCAAGTTTGGGGACAAAGAAAGGGTCAAGGAAGAAGGAGATTCGGCAGAGCAGCCGGGCAGAGTAGGGCCTGGGCACAGGCAGCAGAGCCCGGTGTGGGCAGGAGGTCAGCGGTGCCAGAGCAAAGTGGAGACTTTCTTGGAGCCAGGCTGGGGCCAGGGTGGCCTGTCGCTGGGGGTGCCGGCCCTGGGGTCCCTGGTTGGGCTGGAGTGGAGGGGCACGGTACTCACTGTTGGACGGAAGCGAAGTGGCGACTGACAAGCCCGCAGCGCCGTGCCCACCTCGGGCTGGGGCTGGAACTCTGGGGGACTTGGCTGGGGGGCCGGGCCGGCAAGGACAGCTGCTGCCGCTGATGTCACAGGGTCATGAGTGAAACCTGAGGACTGGGCCAATCTTCAGGTGGGAGCCTCAGCCACACTTCCCTCGCGGGTGTGCTGTGGGCTCAGCCAGGGAGTGCCTGGGCTCTGGGGCCACCCTGCCCTGGGAGTGGCAGCGGTGACACACTCGCCCCCTCACACACACACACACACACACACACACACACACACGGGACACACTATGAGCCCCCATGCTCAGGTCCTCTCCCCAACCTTGACAATCAGGGCTCGTCTTCACACTTGAGTCTCTTTTCACACTCACCCCTGGGGCGCTCCTTGGCATGGACTGGCTCACACTCACACACTCACACTCACTGTGGAACACACTCGTGTGCCCCCAGCTGCACTCCCAGCACGAGCCCCTTTCATAATCCGCACAAACCTTTCCACTACTGTCACACCCCTTCACACACGCCTTCAACTCACACACACAAACATTCCCAGGCTCACATCAGGCTTGTGCAAAAGAATATGCTTGTACACGCGTAGTCATATGTGCTCTTGGGCACATTCATGCCCAGAGGAACCCAAAAGCAGCATATCATGGACAAGAGGATTTTATCCAGTGTGTATCTGTGCTTGTGTGCTCCTATATTTTCACACATGTGACTTATTCCGGCAGCGGTCTGTGCCAAAATACATGCTCCAATTCCTAGGAACACGAGGCCACCTATCATGCTCACTAGATTTGTATCCAGTGTACGCATGTCTGCACACCCACACCCGTATGGGCACACACACATGCACATTCACAGCCGGCCGTTTAGCCTGACCACTCAGTGGTCTCAGGGGCGTTTTTTTGCTCCTCCACCCCCACCTCACTGGCTGGACATCTGTCCCCCAGAGCCTGGGGAGAGGGTGTGGTGGGAGGAGGGAGGAGGTTGGCTCAGAGCCCCCACCCACTCTGCGGCTATGGTGACCCCTAGTGGAGCTGTTGGGAAGTGCCCCAGCTCACTGGGGCTCCTAGGCTTCTTGGAGTCCTGGCCCCTCGTGCCCTCCCCCTTCTCCCCGTCCTGGGCTCCTCACTGCCTCCATCTTTTCTGGCAGCCCAGAGCTCTGGCTGTTGCCTTGGGCCTCCAGTGAGCTGAGCCCTGTGTGGTGCCCTTTCAGAGGGGCTCAGGGCAGCCTGGTGAGCAGGCACCCCCAGCTCTGGGGTTGGGCCCCGTCCTCCCAGCCACTCTGCTCCCGCTCTCTGGATGTTGTCTTGGTCACCATGGAGCCCCTCCTTGGGGGCCAGGCCTGGCTGTGGCTGAGCACTTTTTGCCAGGCCTGGGATTTCCCACATCTCACCCCTGCCCAGGGGCCCACCATGGACCCCTTTGGAGTCACCGACACCCTGAGAGATGGGTTTTCTAAACCTAGGTGTGGGTGTGAGAGTGCTGGTGTCCTCTATGCACGGTTCTTGATCCTGGTTGCTGGCTAGCCTTTCTGACAAGCAGTGTACACTTCGTTTTATTGCAACCGTAACCTGGATGTCCCCACCCCAGTCCCTCGGACATTCTTCTGCTTGTAGCATCCAGAGGAAAAGCACACATTTCTTTCCAAACCCTTCCAAACTGTCTCCCCAGAGCTTTTCCTCAGGGTCCCTCTCATCAATCACTCCCAGCCCTGCTCTGACTTCAGCTCACTTTGCTGATGGTCACTGCCTGGGAACTGGTCACCATCCCCCTGATGGATCACTGATCCCTGCCTGTGGGCACTGGAAGTGGGTGGGAGCCAGCTACCTGTCCCCTCATGGTTCTGCCCCTTTGGTCTCTGTCTTGCCTCGGCCCAAAGTTCTATGGAATAAAATGTTCTTTGACAAAGGATTGGAGTAGCTGCAGGGAATTAGCACCTCGGAGGGGTCGGGGCTGCTACAGTTGGTTATATGGGTTGTACTGCTCCGTGCACCAATCACATTTGAGGTCGCCATAGATTAGTTTATTTACCATGATAATTTTCAGGCAGATGGTAGTACAAATGTCTCAGGGAAGGCGTTAATTTTTCTAATTTGCACAAAGTGTCATTTGGATTGGGATGGGGTCGATTGGAAATCAAAACTCTTTGTTAAATATGACTTTATTTCATAGCCCAGGGGGAAAGAATTGCACTCTCTCCTGGGAACGGTATTCCTCCTTTCTTTAGGTATCTGATTCTCCCCTACTCCAAATCTGTCATTCTGGGGGGCTGCTGATTTCACCCTACCCTTGACTCAGGGATGGAGATGCCACCTGTTGGGAGTCTCCCTGAGAATTCCCCGGGCCTTTCAGACATGGCAGCGGGCAAATTGCCAGTGGGCGGATAACAAGTTGTTTTGAAAATTCACTAATTGGTCCTCCCGTCATCTTCCGTACTTGTGAACAGTTCGTGATCCCCTTGAATCTTATGCAGGGCGGACGTGCGAGCGTGATGACCTGATCTTTACTATGATTGGCCCCGGGAGCTTCCTGGTTTAAGATAACTGACTCTCACTTTCTATATAAGCTAGCACCAGCTTGCAATAAGGTGCTTCATCTTTGTCACTGCTATCTGTGTGTGTGCATTTTAATCTCCGACGACAAACCTTGGCCTTTCACCACCCATGTCTGGCCAGTCCTCTTGCCCATAGTGGTTGGTCCAAAAGCTGGATGTGTGAATCAAGATGAACCAGAATCCTTCCCTGGGGTTTGTATGCATCTGGATTAAAAAAAAAAAAAAACACTCTGGAAGTCTAAATTTGTCAGAAGTAACTGAAGTAAATCTGAAAGTGGTGTCTCCCACCTGTGGAAGAAAGAGAAGGACAGGTCCAGGGGAGGGAAGAAGAAAGTCCATTATCTGCCCTGAGTCATTTGATTTCCCAGGACCTTCAGCAGGATGCTCCCTCATGGTTGGTACCCCCACTCAACTCCAGGGGTCCTGGGAGGGGAGAGCTCTGGAACTCCATCCCATAGTGCAATTCCAATGGGGTAGGACCTGGAAGCCTGGTCCCTGTTTTACCTCCCTTTTGTTGCTGTGAACAAAAGACCCAACAAGAACAATGAGAGGAGGAAGAGTTTACTTTGGCTCATGGTTTCAGAGGTCTCAGTTCACAGATGACTGACTCTCCTGCTCTGAGCCTGAGGTAAGGCAGAACATCATGGCAAAAGGAAAGCAGCTCGGGACATGGCCCCCATGAAGTACCGAGGGCTCCACTCATCAGGAACAATATATGTATCCCAAAGGTGTGCCCCTGTGCCCTACCTCCTCCAGCCATGACTTATCTGCCTACAGTCCCAGTTAATTCATATCAGTGGATTAATCCACTGATTAGGTTACAACTCTCATAACCTAATCATTTCACCTCTAAGTATTCGTGCATTGTCTCACACATGTGTTTTGGGAGGACAATACATATCCAAACCATAACATTCCAACTCTGGCCCCTGAAAGTTTATGCCCATCTCATAATTCAAAATGTATTTAGTCCATTTTGATGATTCCCCATAGTCTTAGCAGTTCCAGCATTACCAAAAATACCACGTCCAAAATCTCTTCTGAGACTCAAGGCAAACTCTTAGCTCTTTCCCCCAGTGAAGATCAAAAACAAATTACATGTATCCAATACATAATGGCACACAGTAAACATGTCCATTCTGCAAGGGAGAAATAGGGGCATGGAAAGAAGGAATGGGACCAGAGCAAGACCAATATCCAGTTAGGCAAACAAGTCCTGTAGCTCTGTGCCTAGCATCCGGGGCACATGGCACTGTGATGTTCTCTCCAAAGGGCTTGCTTAGCTCTTCCCCTGTGGCCTTGCTGGTTGCAGCTCACACAGCCTCTTTCTAGGCTTGTTTCTGCTGGATTCCTGCAGCTTTCCTGGGCATCTCTTAAGCTCGGGGGTCTCCACTGAAGTTCTGGCTTCCTTCTCACATTTTCATGCATCACCTCTCAAGGGCAGCCACTGGGACTCTGACCCTGCTACACTTTGCCTGGCCTCCTCGGCCTTCCTTTGAAATCTTGGTGGAAACCTCCGCGACCCCCTAACTCCAGCATCCTGCATCCCTGCAGAACCAGTACCATGTGGTTGACACCGATTTTTGTCTACCACCATCTTGGGCAGTAGGCTGCCTCTCGGGACCATGGTCACAGCAACCTCTGAGTACCTGAGCAACTGAGCACAATGAAATAACTTCCTCGGCCTTCCCCTTCCCAGGTAAGAAGGGTGTCCCCATGGTCTCTTCTCAAAGGAATTTTTACTTTTACATCTTCAGCCTGAGATGGTTGTGGGCTTGCCAGTTTCTGAGATGCCCCTGAGCCATCTTTCCTGTTGTTTCTGGGGAAGGTACTTTGTTTTTAGTGGCTGTAATCTCTTTAACAACCATGCCTGGTTTCATTTCACTTTTCTGGCCAAAAAATGCAAGTTTTTCAAAATTTTCTGCTCCTGATTATCATAGTAAACTTGGTTAAAAGCTGTGAATGATATCATGCCACTTTCTAAATGGCGTGCTGGCTTGAAGTTTTCTCTGCCAGTTTAATTAGTTCATCACCTTTGAATTCAGCCTCACAGAGGTCTCAGGATGTGGGCAAAATGTAGACAACTTTTTTTTTTGCCAGGATGTAACATGAATGGCCTCTAGCCCTTTTCCAGGTACGTCCTCCTTCCCCCCTGGGGCCCCAAAAAGCCCCGGGTTTTTTTTTTTTTTTTTACTTTTAAAACAGCACGAATTTATTTCCTCAGAAAGAACATGTTCAACCTTTAAATGAGATATATAAACAAAGAATGTCCTGATGTTAAAGGCTCTTTGACATTAAACATTTAAATTCCAAAATAGAAATGTCCATGCAATGGTGAAAAAATAAGAAATCGATGACATTTCTCAGACAAAATGAAAACTGGAAGGAAATTATAATTCTAGATGAGCATATCAAAAGTTTTATGGCATATTCTGTAGACTGTCCCTTTCCACCTCTATGAGCAGCTGTTGCTTCCTATCTTGCCTTTCCTACAGACACTATAAAAGCTAAAACTTAAAACCCCTGGTCTCCCAGATTGATAGGAGGAAGATCAAGAGCACAGAGGGGAAGGAAGTCTGGGTTCTGAGGACACCACTGGGAGACTGAATCAGTTCTAGGACTGCCTTCCTCTGAATACCTTATGTGAACAATACTAATTTAAAAACTGTTAAGAAAACAGGGGTAGAAAAAAATTAGAGTTCCATATCAAGTTATAGTTATCCATCAAACATGAGAGTAGGATAAAGATATTGTGTGTGTGTGTGTGTGTGTGTGTGTGTGTGTGTGTGGTTTGCTGGGGATTGAACCCAGAGCCTTGTGCATGTGAGACAAGCACTCTACCAACTGAGCTATACCCCCAACCTCTAGAATAAAGGCATTTTAAAATATAAGGTATCATAAAAATTTACCACCCCTGAATTCATTCTTAGGAAACCACAGATTGATGTGCTCTACCAAACTGAGATGGTTAAGCCAGAAATTGAATTTTGAGAGACCCTAGCAAACAAGGACTGACACAAGAAAATAGGTAGAAGTTCAGAGTATCAGCACCAAAGGCCAGTTCCAGGAAAACTGTGCAGCAGACCTTAAAAATATCATCACTCCCTCCATCAGCAGGTTGTGACATGGGTTCTTCAATTTCTTTTTCCAGTTCTGTACACCTTGATTTATCTTTCTGTAATAACATCATTTACTTCTTGGCAAACTTGAGGAGATCTCCCTTGGGCAATATTTAGGGAGCCTGCTACTCAAGTATTCTCTTCACCTTAGATATCCTGGTCCCAGCGAGACCACCCCAACCTGAACAATCACCAAGTGCCTATTAGACTAAATCACATATGCATACTTGGTCAGCTTTTTTGCCTCTGTAAACAAAAGACCTGAAAAGAACAGTTTTTGAGGAGGAAAAGTTGATTTGGCGCTCACAGTTTCAGAGGTCTCAGTCCATAGAGGGCCGACTCCATCGGTCTAGGCCCAAGGTGAGGCAGAACATCATGGTGGAAGGGAGGGGAGGAAGAAGGCGGCTCAGGACATGGCAATCAGGAAGCAGAGACAGCTCCATCACCAGGGACAGAATATAAACCCCAAAGGCACACGCTCCCAGTGACACATCTCCTCCAACCTCTCCTTACCTGCCTATAGATACCACCAAGTTAATCCATATCCTTTGATTAGTTTGCTGATTCAAGTTCTCAAAACCCAATCATTTCACCTCTTAAAGTTTTTCTGCATTGTCTCACACATGAGCCTTTGGGGGGCACCTCATATCTAAACCATAACACATACCTCATAAGGACAACCATAATTTGTAGAAATAGCGTAGTTAGAGTTTCTAAGCAGAAAATGGAATTCCTTCACTCTTGTGTTTTCAAGATTCCTTCTTTAGTATGTTTTCTATGCCAGCCGCATAATTTCACAGAGCAATATATATTTTCTTTCCTTCAATCCTTATGTTCTAGCTCCATCCAATTTGTGTATCTAAGTATTGGGTATGAGAAAAAAACTCCTTGCTTGCTTGGTGCTCTCTCTGTGTTCCCTCACCTATACTCAAAATAAGCATTGAAATTTGTAATCAGAATCTTAGGAACTTTTTCCTCTCTATTTGCATCTCAGGAGGAGAGGAGGTAACTTTTTTTTTTTTTTTCCGAGGTCCATGCTTTGGGTAGATTGCCTTCATTTATTCAACCATTCCCCTATAATTGGACTTTGAGTAATGTTCAATTTTTAACTCTTAAAAATAACACTGTGATGAACACATTTGAGTGTAAATTTTTTCCATGTTTAGCTTATTCCCAGAAATAGATTTACCAAGGCAATAGGCAGAACAAATTGTCTTGGGACGCTGAATTTTGGTACAAATTGTTTTGGGTCACACACACACACACACACACACACATACACACACAAACACAAAAAAAAAAAAAAAAAAAAAATCCAAAGATATAAAACAGAGTTCTCACTGATGGAAAAAAAAATTAAAAGGAAATAGGTGGAGTGGCCAATGTCTGAAAGAAAATAATAGTAGTCAAGGAAGTAGCTGGTGAGTCACCTCCCCTGCTCTGGGGGGCTGATGTTAAGTCTCCTCAGGTGAAGAACTCAGCAGATCTGCCTGTGCATTCCTTCTTTCGAGCAGCAAACGCTTTGGTTTTCCTATGATAAAGAACTTGAACACTACAAGCCAGACACTTTTCACCTTAGCCTTGTTTTCCAAAATACAAGTTCCCTGTACAAGTTAACCGGCAGTTTTACATCTGAGGAACGGGAATGATCCCTCCTCCCACCTGCTTTCCACAGCCACCTCCAGCAGGCTCCGGGCTCCTTTCTGAGGGATGAAGGCATGGCCATGACTTTTTTCTGCCTGTCTCCAGTTTGAAGTGCCTTCTCTCTCCCAAGCTGCTTGATCCCATCTGAGGGCCACCTTGCTCAGATCTCCATCCCCCAGTTATAGAATTCTCTCTTTTTCATTATCTCTTCTTGCATAAGTCACCTACAGGGACTTTCCACGGTGCTGTAGTTCTGCTTTCTTTTCAAGGGTCTGTTCACACTTCCCCACGGTGGGTGCTGGGACCAAGGAGCGTACCAGGACACCACCTCCAGTTTTCAGATAGGCCTCTTCACCCACAGTCACTTCCCTGTTCAAGGTTTGTTGGGGGGTACAGTGCTCGGCTTTGGAATGAAAATAGAGATGGAGCATGCTTCTCTCGTGTGGGCCTGTGACCACAGCTTGTTGGTGGTTCTGCAGCGATAAAACAAACAAGACAAATAATGCACTGTCCACTGGCCCCCTCCTTTGGAGACAAGACTAAGAAACAAAGGAGGAAGGTGGAAATGGTCTTTCTGGGTCTAGACTCCAGGACTGCTAGGAAGGGAGCAGAACAGAAGTGGGGGGTGGGGGAAGGGCACCTCATAGGGTGCTAATCCCAGCTTCCTGTCCGGATTTTCCTTGACTTGCTGCTCAGGGCCTATCTTAGGATGGTCACAGCTGCCGAAATAGATCTCCCGCCTCACCTGTTCTTAAGCAATGGAGACCTTGCTAACTTCCTGTCAGAACAATGCATGTTCCAGTATATGGGACAGGACTGGGGACCGCTTATCCACCTCAGAGGGGTGGCAACTCACACTGGCCAGAAATCAGGGAGAAAACAAAGGAGAGATAAGCATCTGGCCACCCTTTTTGGCCCCAGCCCCAGCTTCTTTTGCGAATCAGGTCAGTGTTTCCTTCCTGGTCATCTTCAGAAACCACTCTGTCTGCAGAGGGCCCCTCTTCTGATTGACAGAGGGGCTGTCTAGCTCAGCAGACCCTCACTCCAAGCTTGCGCACACAACATTCTCTATTCCTGCTGAACTCATCAGCTGAGTTTGAACTCTGGGACCAGCAAACCAAGGCTACCCTACTTCATTCATTCAACAAACATAGGCCCACTCCCGTCTAGTAGCGAGGGTGAGGAAGGCCACAAGATAAAGGGAGATTTAAGACCCGAAGTCTTGGGAGCCCTGGCCTGAAGGAAGGGCCTCCTGGAGGCCAGACCGACAGCGGTAGGACCCCACGTCCTTCTGGGAGGAGGAGAGGAGGGCTGAGGGCAAGTCGCCCAGGGCAACAGGGGCCTGGGCCTGGGCGGGCCGGCGCAGGAGTGGAAGTCCTCCTCCCTTGGCGTCGCTAGCGTTGCCATGGTAACCCTGACCCGCAGACGCTGGCCATGGCTTCTGGGCCAGGCGGGAGCTGGGGTAGCGCCCCACCACGGAGTGCAGACCCTACGGTGAGGGCTGAGCCTGGGAGCGGAGCCTGACTTGGGGGCGGGGGGGACAGCGGCGCTGGGGAGCCGCCCCTGGAGGGGCTGGATTCTGGAGGGGATGCACGGTGGGGGTGAGGAGAGAGACCCCAAACAAGAGGAAGAGACTGGACAGGGAGGGAGAAGCAACCCATGGGAGGAAGGTGTTGGGGCTCCCGCGACAAGCCCCATCCCTTCCCACCTGGTCTGAGTCTCCCCGCCAATGTCCCCAGCCCTGGATGACCATCCTGCAGTCCCTTCCGTCGGCCGTCCCACCCCCGCCCCCGCAGCCGGGCCGCGTGAAGGAAGGTGAGACTCCGGGGTCACCCTACTGTGCCCGCCTCTGTCCCCCACGTTCCCTTCTCCAGGTGTCGGGGGTCCGCGCTGCCCCACCTCCGCTTCCGCTGGGGGCTGGACTTCAAGATAAAGGCCTTGGGATCCGGAATGGGTGAGGGGTCGGGGCGGGGTGATGGCGGGAGCCGGGTTCAGCCGGCTGAACTCTTGGCCCCTAGACTTGCTGGAGCTGATGATGCTGCAGAACGCGCAGATGCACCAGCTGCTGCTGAGCCGCCTGGCGGCGGGGGCGGCGGGAGCGCTGAGCCCCGGGTCAGACTCGCCCAGCGCGCAGGTGCGTGGGGCTGGGGCCACCGCCTCGCCCACCTGCAGGCCCTGGGGGATCCAAATGGGGTTTCTCCTGGAGAGAAAGTCCTGGGCGAAGAGGCAAGGAAAGCCAGCCCACACTTGAGTCCCTCTGGCATGCATTTAGGTGTCAAGCCAGGTGTAAGCCTCCATGCCGGGAGGGTCCCCAAACCAAGACCACACAGATCTGGTTTTCAAGGAAGTTTCCCTGCAGTGCAAGCCCTGCCCACTTACAGGCACCATGGACACTGTTGCCTAGCCTAGACTCAATTGGTATTTGTCCAACAAGTGAATGAATAAACCAACGGCTGTGAATACTGCCGGCTTTGGCATGGCTGGCGAACGAAATGTAGGCAGCATGCTCACACCTGGTGAGGGATGGGGAAAGGGCCATCCCTCCTTGGAAGAGGAGCAGGAACCCTTAGAACCAGCTTTTTAGAGCCGAGTAGAATTTTGACGTTGGTGAAGGGGGTGAGGGGTAAACCCACCCTCCAGGGTTGGGCAGGGGGACCTTTAGGATAAGTGCTCCACATCACTGAAGGGCACAAGGCAGTTCTGGAGCTGAGAGTGAGGCCCAGCGCAGCTGAGTGGACTCCAGGCCTCCGCTCTGGAGTCACCTGGATTCTTCCAGCCCTTGCTCTACCAGTTATTAGCTGGGGGACCTTAGAAAAGTTGTTCAATCTCTTGGATCCTCAGTATTCTTACCTGTAAAATAAGGAATAAATGTCTCCAAAGTGCCTTGCGTGATACAGTAAATGCTCAGTAGCCATGTTGAAAGTACATATCTGGAGAAAATCATGTAGATGAACAGAGGAGTGGGGGTAGGAGAGTCTGATTCTCTGTCACCATCTCCCCTTCCCCTTTGCACAATCCTAGGTCTACCTAGAGGACCAACTGGAAGAACTGCAGGAGGAGATGGACACTCAGGAGGAAGAGCCTGTGGTGTTCCACCACCACTACCTGCCCTGTTCAGTGCCCTCCCTGGGATCCCTACCACTCTGGCCAGCCCCTTTCCTCCTCCCTCCCCCACATCAGCCCCTCTTTCAGGATGCACCCAGGATTCAGCACTGGCCTCCTGCCTCCAGGAAAAGGGGGATGTAAGTGAGGCTGAGGTCTGGGCTTTACCAGGTTCCTGCTCTGGGGCCAGGCTGGCAGAGCAGGCCAAGGGGATTGTGGGGGAAGCACTGGAGGCCACGCCTGGGCCGCTGAAGGATCTTCTTTTCTCTCCCCATATCAGGAGAGCTGTGCCACCGCCCCCACCCCCCAGTGCCACAGGGACAGTGGGTGCAGATGTACCTCCTGCTTCAGGTAGGGGGCTGGGTAAGTGGGCAGTGGGAACCCAAGCCCAGGAATGGATGGGGAGGCCAGGAGGGCCATGTGCCCTGTGTGGGGGCTTTGCTATCACTGATATGGGCACTGGACTGTCCCCTTCTGTTTTCCCTCCTTGGAGTCCACTGAGGCAGGAGGGAGGCAAAATGGGGGTGCTATCTCCTTAGATTACTATGATGCTGAGAGTATGCTGTGAAGATGGGTGCTCATGGGGACCATGCCTGCTTCAGTGCAAGACAGAGAACAGCCTGGAAGCTTCTAGCTGCCCCTGTGCTGTCTGCCAACTCTGCATCCACGCTGACATCCTTTCTCACTGTCTCAACCTCAGCCAGGCCCTCTCCTCCCTGGTGGATCAGCCCCTCTCCACCCACTGTGGGTTTTTATAAAATATTTATTTTTTAGTTGTAGTTGGACACGATATCTTTATTTTATTTATTTATTTATTTTATGTGGTGCTGAGGATCGAACCCAGGACCTTGCATGTGCTAGGCGAGAGCTCTACTGCTGAGCCACAACCCCAGCCCTCCACCCACTGTGGTTTTTAACTGGACTGTAAGCACTCCTTCTTGCCCCTTCAGGGCCTGAAAACCACAGAAACCCAACCGTTTCCTGCCTGGACTTGGGGCAAACCCAGGTGCAAGAGCCCCAGGCCCACCCTTGTCCCTCACTTCTCCTTCTGGAATGACAAAGATGGTGGGGCTGCCTTTTGGGACTAATAATGGGTCCAGAGAGAAGTGGAATGTTCTGGTTTCCCCAGATCTTTGAAGGCTGCCTTGGGGGAGAGAAGGGCCTAAAGTGGTAGGGGAGAGGCTAGCGGGGAAGACCCTGGAGCTGAGCCAGTTCCCTTGGGCCCCATCCTCACACAGTGGGAAAGAGAGTCAGAATTGTGTCCTGCTGTCACCAGGAATGATCCTAGGGGACCTCGGGCCAGGTGACAGCAGTGTCTTTTGCCTCACAGGCCACATTGTTTCTGCCCCTCCCCCAGTAGGAATTCATCACTGGGGGCCAGATGGGATTGGTGTCTGGGAACTGAGCCTGGGCCAGCAGAGCCTGGGAAGGCCCCTGTGAAAGAGAGGACAGGAAGAGGCTGAGGGAACCTGCAGGGGCAGAAGTCGGTGCCTGTACCTTCCCCTTCTGGGCTGTTGACTGATATCCCAGGAGCAGACATGGAGGACACAGGGTTAGGGCCGGGCGTTTGTATTCAGGCTCAAAAAGGAAATGTCGCCAGAGTCCTATGCTGCTGTCATAGTCCTTCAGCCAGGGCTGGACCACGACCCTGAGGAGCCATGCTGAGTTCCAGCAGCCACCATGGCAGTGGCTTCGCAGCTCACATGTGCTGCACCCGGAAGACCTGGGGCAGCCTCCGCCAGGCAGCTCGCACCCCATAGGTGCCCATCCGCCTCTGGCGCCAGTGCTGGCCGAAGACAAAGCAGAGCAGGACGGACATCACAAACAAGAACAGCAGTACCGACACGACTGTGACAATGATGACCATCTGGTTTTCCGGCGGGGGCTCTAGGGAAGGAGGGGGTGGTGGTCTTAGAAGTTCTCAGGTGCTACCCATCAGCTCCACCCACTCATCCACCCTGCAGTCACCCTGGTTGTCAAGAGGAAGGGCACATGGTGTCTTCTTCCAGAGTGGCATCTAGGAGAAAGGTGACCCAGGCCTCAGACTCCCAGTGGGACCTCTGTGAGACTGTGAGGGCAGATGTCCCCTTGCTAGCAGCTCTTAAGACCAGCTACGTGTAGCTGAGAACCATGGCTTGGAGGGTGGCATCGTGCAGACGAAGCCTCCCCAGGCAGGGCCCTGTGAGTTCTGGACAAACAGGCTCCCCGTTGACAGAGAATGCTCTAGTCATCGAGAATCACAGAACAGCTGTGCCCTAGGGACCTTACAGGTCAGGCAGACCAGCCTTCCCACTGCAGAGAGCAGCCAAGGGCAGAGACGGCACATTGCCTTGGTCAAGGCCACACAGCTCACGAACAGCCAAGCTACTAGTTGAGCTCCCCTGACTTCTGGAACAACCAGGGTTCTGGCTGGGGACTTGAGAGAATCAGGGAAGACGGGGAGCAAAGGGGAGCCCTCAGGATTACATGTGCACCCCAATCTGCCTGAGAATGGGGCTAAAGGCTAAGAGGGAATGCTATCTCCCTTCCCCTCTGCCCTTGGGGTCTCCTTACCATAGACTTGAAGGACCTTGTTTTCTGAGATGTTGCGCAAGATGTCGCCCCCACGAGACCGCAGGTCCAGCTCGGCCTGGCAGGAGAAGTTCAGGAGGCCATCCTCTTTGCTTGCTGTGCTGTTGAATGTGACTCTGGCCTCTTGAGGGTCAGTTGCTCCCCCATTGAAGGTCTGGCTGTGCAGGGTCTCCTTGCCACGGAGCAGGGTGAGGGTGAGGCTCTCGAGGGGCTTCACAGCGGACACCCTACACTCAATAGTGAAAGGTTTGCCCAGGGTCACCCAGACGGGCTGCAGCTGCAGTATGATCTGCTGTGGAAATTCTGTGGGGGTGAAGGAGGGAGGCCTTGTCAGGATGGGGGTGTGTCTCCACAGGCCCTACCCGGCCAGGGCCATCTCCTGTCACTGTGGTGTTCCAGGAATTATAAGGGAGGAAGTGGGCTGGGGTCTGGTTTGTGAAGAGAGGAGGAAAGAAGAATTGAGCTGAAGGATGTGCCAGGTGATAGATTAGTGGACGTGACTTGGAGAATAGACAGCATGGAGGTGAGCTATTGTCTACAAAGAAAAGGTCCAGAAATTGTATAGCTAACTGGAAAGATTAAAAAAAGTTTGGGTCTGTCTCCTTCCTCTCCAGTTATTAAAAAAAAAATTCAAAAATTAAACAGCTGGACGGAGAAGGGAAGAGCTCATTGGCACTGGGCACTTGAGGAACTGAACTGCGAGGTTCCGTTAGGGGTGAGGACTGCAGACCAGCCTCGCTTCTCCAGGATCAGGTTCCCAACTACTGACGGGGCCTGTGGTAGGGCCCTGGATTCCACTCACTCCCACCCCCACCCAGCATCACCTGTTGGTTTCAGGGCATTTCTCTGTTCATCTGGATCCTCTGATGCTGGTGATGGGGAGGACCTCAGCGATACCCCCAGAGCCAAATGTTGAGAGTCCTGGCCTATCTGGAGGGTTTCCATGGCTCCTGGGCAGGTGTCTGTGGGTGATGGTAACCCATTTGCCATGGGCTCTCAGGGTAAGATAAGGACACCGAGTGGCACTCGACCTTCTCCTTATGAGGTGAGAGCGTGCCCAGGTCTCCTGATGGTCCTCCACCGATGTCATGGAGGCAGGCTGCACTGGCGGCTGAGCGGGGGCGGGGCTGAGGAACACCACATTGAGAAATGACTGTGGGATCTGCCTAAGTCCTGGTTGGCTGTCCTCCTTAGAGCAAGGCTCAGGACCTGGGGGCCTGCTGCAAGGATAGCAGGGGCTCAAGGAGTCCTACCCAGGGTGTGGGCAGATCTGAGCCCATTGTTCTGTCCTGATCCTTGTCACCCCAGGAACCCAGGGAGGTGGGGGCTGTGGTGGAAGGCCCCGGGGGCAGCACCCTGGGGACAGCAGGGCCTGCGCACAGCCACTCACGGTACATGCTGACGTTGAGACTCTTTGACTGCTGCTCCCCAGCACAGGTGAAGTAGCAAAAGAGGACCGAGTCCCAGGAGACGTTTGAGATCCAAAAGGACTTCCACCGAGGCTGATCCTCCAGCAGAGTCTTTTCCAGGGTGGTCTCCAGGCCTCCCGTATCGGGGTTGGCACAGCTGGTGCTGCAGTTGACTGTCCTGGACCCTCCATTTTCTACCACCAGCCTCTCTGGCCATATGTGTACCTCGAACGCTGCCTCACCAGACTCTGGAGGAACAGAAGCATCGTGTGGTGAATGTCCCTGCTGCCCTGCCAGCAGAGCACCTGCCACCAGGAGTCCAAGGATAAGGGCCATGGATGGTCCCTCTCCTCCTCTCCCAGTGCCCTCAGGCCTATGGCTTCTTGGCTAGATCCCGGAGGCCTCCCAGCCTCTGGGTGTTCCTTCCTCCCACCCCTCTGCTCCTCAGCTGCAGATTGGCCTTCCTCAAGATCCTCTTCCATCTCCTTCAAGGTCCACCTGAAAGCCCCCTCCTCCCTGACAGCCTCTCTGAGAATGGAGGTGAGCTCTAAGCTGTGCTCTCTGAGCCGTGGCCTGGGGCGAGCCCCGCCCTCCTTCCTTTCCTGGTAAACTCTTTTCAAACACGTGCTAGGGGCTGGGGCTGGGGCGCAGTGGCAGAGTGCTTGTCTAGCCTGTGGGAGGCACTGGATTCTCAGCACCGCATATAAATAAAAAAATAAAGGTCCATCGACAACTAAAAAACATTAAAAACAAAACAAAAACACCATCTGCGACGTGCCAGGCACCATGCTAGGCTCTGGGGACTCAGCAGTGACCAAAGTAGACCGAGAGCATTTGGATCCAGACCAGCTGGGCCAGCCTGTGTCCCATGTTCCCATCTCCCTTGCACGCCCCGCTCAGCCTGCAGCGCGTGGCATATGACGAAATGGCAAGAGAGGGGCGTTGGAGGTGGGTTGCACTGGATGTGAGTCGGAATTCGCCACCGGCTGCCTGGGGGCTTCCTCTCCCTGAGCCTCGGTCTCTTCCTCCATCAAATAGGCTAGTATCCCCTAGCTTGAAAGGACCTGGACGACCATCCAGGGCCGGGGTGCTCAGCATATGGCAGCCACCTCCCTTCCTAGTCCCCTCCACCCACTGAAAGAAATTTCATTTTCACTTTGACCGTCATGGCCAGGAGGTGATGTCCTCTGCTGCCCCCTATGGTCCCCTAGGCCCCCCAGCATCCCTTCACCTCCTGAGCCCCCCACCCACCCCCATCATTCAGCCTCCACGACCTGCCATACACACACCCCAAAGCTGTGAGGTCTGTTCCACCTGGTGTCCGAAAGTCCAGGACCCTACCCACCGCCCAGGGCCACAGGGACCCAAGGACAGGCTGCCACAGTATCCTGTGCCCATGGTGGAATGAACCCCATGTTCAAAGCCTCAAAAACTACAGGACCAGGACCTCCCCCTTCCCTGCCTGAATCCGGAGAGCGGGGCAACACCCCATCCCGGGCAGCCAGGTGTCAGACCCGCTCACCTGAGCAGCAGAGCAGGGCGAGAAGGGCCGCGTGTAGGCCCCAGCGACCTAAAGAAGACATCTCCCGCTGGGTCCACGGGTTCCCAGGGAACAGCCGAGGGCTGTCTGGAGGGAGATGGACGGTTCAGCCAGGGAGCAGTGAATGGAGCTGCAGCCCCAGATTCCTAGCCTTCTGTGAGCTGATGACCGCATTTCCTCTCATTATCGGAGCTCCGGAAGCCACGTGCACAGGCCAACTCCCGGGCCTCCGGGCCGCCAGGGTCCGCAGGCAGAGGAAGTTGGGAAACAGCTGATAAGCAGGGGAGGAACCTCTTCTTCCAAAGCCCCCTGCAAGAGTGGGGCGAGGGAAGGCAACACCTGTGTGTGTGTGTTCACGCATGTGCACACGGGATCCCTGTGGACTGTGTGCACACAGCTGAATGAGGCCTCCAAGGCGCAGATCTGGTAAACCCCAAATCCCACAAGACACTTTGTTGAAGTTTCCTCTGGGAAGAAAATATCCAATCAGGGCACCCAGTCACCACAGCAAAGGCGAGAGAGACCTGGGCTTTTTAAGGAAAACCAGGCAGGAATTTGAGGTTCCTGCAAATACCCAGCACGTGTATGCTGGGTATTTGACTAACCCTAACCCTAACCCTCCCACTCAGCTTCCACCTTAAACCTGTCCTGACTCAGCTGATTAAGGGCCCATGTGAGGCCCAGAACCTTGGGAATCACAGCCCACAACAGTCCCCAGAGGCCCAGGCCCAGGAGAGAAGGGATCTGTGTGGCCTCAGCCTCCCTTTCTGGGCCCAGCCTGCTGACGTTCCCTGCCCACTCCAGGCAGGGTCTTGGTCTGGGGGGCTGGGGCTGAGGGGCTGCAGCCTATCTCTAGGGAAGCTCCTGCTCCCTTCAGGGGTCCAGAAGCAGGGCGCAGGTGAGGGCTGGACTCTGATGGACCAGGACCTTCCCAGGTGGATCTTGCTCTCCACATATCCTACCTTTGCTCTCCCAGTTCTGTCCCAGATCCCCTGGGACCAGGCTGTAGGTCCCCTGATTTCTCAGGGAACTCCAGTTGGGGCCTTTAGAAATGCAGGCCCCAGCCGGCCACAGTGGCACATGTCTGTAATCCCAGCAGCTCAGGAGGCTGAGACAGGAGGATCATGAGTTCAAAGCCAGCCTCAGCAAAAGTGAGGCGCTAGCACATGGCTGCACCTGCGATGTCATAGCACTCCACAGTAGAAACTCATCAATCCCCTAACTTTGTAAGGTAGAGCACTGTTACTGTCCTTGTCTTACAGATGGGGCACAGAACAATTAAGGGACTTGTCCAGGTTTACACACCTAGGAGGGGGTGAAGGGAGACCCTGTCTCAAAAATACAAAAAAGGGCTGGGGATGTGGCTCAGTGGCCGAGTGCCCCTGAGTTCAATCCCTGGCACAAAAAAAAAAAAAAAAAAAAAAAAGATAGAGAGAGAGAGAGAGAATGCAGGCCCCAGAGTTTTAGGGAGTCAGGCCCAGCTCTGCTCCTGGACTGAGAAGGCACGGGGCCATCAGCACTTCCCTCACCACTTAGGCCAAAGTTAGTGACTGCTCTGCAGTCATTCAGTGTTGCCTTTCTCAGTCTGAATCCAGGGAAGTCTCTGGAAAGGGATCCTGGGCTTTGGAATGATGCTGGGGGAAAGAGGCAAAAGTAGGAGGCCGGAATCCCAGCCAGGAGGGGTCAGTTCCACTCAGGGTTGGCAGAGTTCTGAGATCAGGGAACTCTCCTCCTACCCATGGGGCAGTCGCAGGGGGCGCCCAGGGGCTTGACCAGCAGGGTAGGGCCGGAGGTGCGTTCAGTGGAGACTCCCTGGCTACCACTGTACTGCCACCTCGGTATGCAGTGGTGATGTCGTTACCTAGCACATGGCTGCTACAAGTTGGTCACTGTCATAGCACTCCACAGTATTAACTCATGAGTCCCCTAACTTTGTAAGGTAGAGCACTGTTACTGTCCTTGTCTTACAGATGGGAAACTGAGGCACAGAACAATTAAGGGACTTGTCCAGGGTTACACACGTAGGAGGGAGTGAAGTCACCGTGAGCGAGAGCCAGCTGTCTTGTCTGATGAACTAGAGCAGGAGGACGGTCAGGGGTTGGTTTCCCAGAGACCCTCAGGAAGGAGAAGAAAGACAGAAGGCCAAAGGAAATTTCTGGGCAAGTCTCTGGAACAACATATTTCTAAACAAACAAAAAAGGAGGAGAAGGAGAAGGAGAAGGAGGAAGAAGAGGAGGAGGAGGAGGAGGAGAAGAAACCAATAAACACTGCTGGGAACCAGAATGGGAACATAAGCACTGTTAGGTGCAGAACAGGCTGAACTATGTTATCTGCAGGATGGCCCATGCACTCAAACCGCCCTCTGTCCTTTATCACTGTTTGCGTCAAAGCTGAACATTCAACCCCCACTCAAGGCTGAACACTCAACCCCCCCTTGTGCCAATAAGGCAGCTTGCAGACCCAGAGGCCCCGTTAGATTTGGGCTATAAAAACTCCCTCCTGCTGGGCCCCTCTCTCTCTTGTTCTCTTGCTCTGTCTCTCTCTCTCTCTTGATCTCTCTGTCTCCCTTGCGCGCATGCTCTCCTCTCTCTCTCTCTCTTTCTCTTTCTCTCTTTTCTCCTCTGTTGCACTGCTGCAAAAAGATCTCTTGGTCACTCCGAGTGTTGTGGTCACTTTCCTTTCAAGCACAAGATGAAAAAGAAGACGATACAAATTCACACAAACACAAAGTAGAGGGGTGGACGGCAGGGGCTGGAGAGAAGAGAAATGAGAGTTGTTTAATGGGCCATTAGAATTTTGTAAGATTGATTCTGGAGATTGGTTGCAAAACAATGTGAACATATGTAGCACTACTGAATTGTGCATTTTAAAATGGATAAGTGGTATGTTTTATGTTATGTGTACTTTACCACAATTAAAAGTAAAAAAGAAGACCTACAAGGTATGTATGCCATGAAAAATGGAACCAAGTAGACCAAATCTTAGGAAAAAAAAAATATATGACTTGCCAGACGTAATTTAGGAAGAAATAAAAAACCTGAATGGTTCTGTAACCCTTAAAGATACTGAATCAGTGATTTAAAATCTTCTCCCAAAGAAACTGCCGGAAGCTGGGCACAGTGGCACAGGCCTGTAATCCCAGGTGTTTGGGAGGCTGAGACAGGAGGATAGCAAGTCTAAGGCCAGCCTGGGCAACTTGGCAAAGTGCTTGCTTGGCACATTCAAGGCCCTGGGTGCCTGTGATGTCAGAGCCAAGCTGGGTGCCCAGCAGTGGAAGGAGAGCCCAGGAGCCAGAGCGGTTATGTTGGAAACTCGGCCTGGTACCCTGAGCCACATCGCCTCTGATCTGAGCCTTCTGCTGCCCCTGTCCCCTCCCTCAAACTTACACCCTTACACCTGGCTTCTTTTCGCTTTGTGCCTCCAGGCCATGCCGTGCTGTAAGAGTTATTTATCTGCCTGTTCCCCAGATAAATGGAGAGGTGAGGTCCCTAGGATGCGATACCCAACCAGGTGACAGCAGCCCCTGGAGACAAGCTGCGCTTCCTTCCTGGTGGCGTCCAATACTGGGAGGGTCAGAGGTCCAGCAGAACTGACCCTTTTGCAACACAGTCTGGCTCCTTTCAATGGCTCCTCCCTTCCTGCCACCTCCTCCCAGATCCTCCACTCTGCTTCCTGGAGTCATCTCCCAAGTAACCTGCCTGAGCCCGAGGCCTTGTTCCAGGATTTGCTTTTGAAGGAGTCCACTCTAAAACCTTCCGTTAACAGATTTAAGAGGGAAAACATATTTGGTCATATATATATGTACGTTTATTTATATTTATTTATTTATTCTGGGAGTACCAGGAATTGAACCCAGGGTGCTTAACCATTGAGCCACATCCCCAGCCCATTTTTATTTATTTATTTATTTATTTATTTTTGAGACAGGGTTTCACTAAGTTCCATAGGATCTTGCTAAGTTGCTGAGGCTGGCTTTGAACTTGTGATCCTCCTGCCTCAGCCTCCTGAGCTGCTGGGATTACAGGTGTGTGCCACCGTGCATGGCTTATATGACCATCTTAACAGATCCCAAACCAAAAAACAACACACACAAACACACACACAAATATGCTGAAGACATTCAATTTTTTTTTTTTTTTGGTACCAGGGATTGAACTCAGGGGGCACTCAGCAATGAGCCACATCCCAGCCCTAGTTTGTATTTTATTTAGAGACAGGGTCTCACTGAGTTGCTTAGTGCCTCACTTTTGCTGAGGCTGGCTTTGAACTCATGATCCTCTTGTCTCCACCTCCTGAGCTTCTGGGATTACAGGTGTGGGCCACCGTGCCCAGCTCAACACCTTTTCTTGATAAAAGCTCTTAGAATATTAAAAGGAGAATATACTTAAAACTTATATATTTTAGTTCAAGGTGTAAGAATTAGAAAAGAGCAAAACCATCAGTATTAGCATATTATGATGCCTAGATAGAAAAGTCCACAAAAATCATCAGGCAAATGATTTAGCAAGGTGTGTGATTTTATTTTTTTATTTTTGAGAGAGAGAGAGAGAGAATTTTTTAATATTTATTTTTCAGTTTTCGGTGGACACAACATCTTTATTTTATTTGTATGTGGTGCTGAGGATCGAACCCAGCGCCCCGCGCATGCCAGGCCAGCGCGCTACCGCTTGAGCCACATCCCCAGCCCGAGGTGTGTGATTTTAGCTAGCTATATGATCAATATCCAGAAATAGTTGCTTTTATGTATATCTGTAACATACAAAAATGTAACTTTAAAAATATGTCATTTATAATAGCCAAACAAGGAACAGGAATAAATCTAACATCCTAGACCCATAAGACTTGTAGTAAGAAAATTATAAAACTTTATTGAAGGACATTATAGACAACAAATGAAGAGATAATCCATGTTCATAGGTAGGAGATTCAATAGTATAAAGATGTCAATTCACCCCTAACTGCAATTCCAGTTAATCCCAATAGGCTTGTTCATGGAAATTGAAAGCATATAATAAAGTTTATGTGGAAGAATAAAAAAACTGACAGAGGACTAACGTCCGGAAACTATAAAGAAATAAAAAAAAAAAAATCTGGGCAGGGTGTTCAATGCCTGTAATCCCAGGGGCTTGCGAGGCTGAGGCCAGAGGATTGCAAGTTCAAGATCAGGATTAGCAAATTTGTGAGGCCCTAAGCAACTTAGTGAGACCCTGTCTCAAAATAAAAAAATAAAAAAGAGCTGGGGATTAAGTAGCCCAATGGGTAAGTATCCCTGGATTAAATCCCCAGTAGAAAGAAAAATCTTTTTTTTCAAAAATTTACCAACAAAATAAAAAACAAACCCCAAATAACCCAATCTATAAATGTGAAAATTAAAATGAACTAAACAGACATTTCTCAAAATAAATACAAATGTCCAATGAATACATGGAAAAATGTTCAACATCTTTAGCAATTAAGGAAGTACAAATTAAAAGTACACTAATATTTCATCTCACTCTAGCTAGAATGGCAACCATCAAGAATACAAATAGAGCCTGGTGTGGTGGTGCACGCTGTAATCCCAGCAGCTCGGGAGGCCGAGGCAGGAGGATCATGAGTTCAAAGCCAGCCTCAGCAAAAGTGAGGCGCTAGAACATGGTGGCGGGCGCGGAGAGATCAAGTCTCTGACCTCTTCAGCTGCGTGGGCATAGGGAGTCGTAAACCGTCTAAATGCTGTTTGCTCAGGATCACTAGGCAATGCTGAGTTGACGTGGATCTGGGGCAAACAGTCTGGGCCTCTCAGAACACACACCGAGCCCGGATCAGCTGAATTCAAGCCCCCCGTTCGCCTGCTTCTCGGAGACAAACTGCTGTGACTCAGCACTAAACAATCCCGCTGAAACAACTGGTCGGCCCTTCTGCACCTACGGAGGTAAATGCCAACCGAGCCTTCATAGGCAGTGGCCACAGGATTGAAACGGGGCTTGGGAGAGCCAGTCAGGACCCACCCATTGCATTGGTCATCCAGCAAAGGGAAACGAACTGTCGCCATTTGCATGGGATACCACCATGGCAGACAACTGATGTCACCAGAATGCGGTGGAGGAGATAACT